TTATCCTTTCCTAGTTGCATTTTACTTTCAAATTATAACTTTCTAAATAACCTTCAATCTGTAGGTCATCTGAAAATCTAGGTTTAAAAAATATACACTAAGTAAAACACAATATACTCAAAAGAATTAATAATATATAAATAAAACTATTAATTCTGACATGATGACCCTTAAAAGTCAAAAGCAGCAGTTCTACATTGTAATTTTACTTTCCAAACATATGTATTGGCATGGAATTACAAAGTCATTAAACTTTTCTCAGAAATGTATACACAAATTTTAAAAAGTTTAAAAACACAACATTAAGTTAAGCCGTATCAGTACAATAGTAAAATAATCAAGTGAGAAGTGGGGGGAAATTAGGCAAATGTGCTAATTGTCAAACATGTCTAAGTTAATAAGTCTGTAGAAACCAAACTTTCCTTAAAAGTCACCCTATTTAGTTGATATGAGGATACACTGTCTGGTCAAAAGTAAAATTACAGGGCCTTACAAATGTACCTCTCTGCCATAGGATGTTGATAGTGGAGGAGGACATATATGGGGGGGAGGGGGACGTGGCAGGAGTCACAGGGTACATGGATGTTGCACTTGCCATTCAATTTTGCTGTGAACCTAAAACTGCTCTAAAAAATAAAGTCTATTATTATTATTATATAAATAAAGGGCCAAGCAAATAAAACTGATCAAAATATAATCCTAGAAATTTGGATTGTTTTTCAATAGTAATAAGAATATAAATTCTGAAATGTGTGGAAATGTTAAAACTATTAATTTTTTACCTTTCAAAAGAATACTTTCCATTAAAACATAAGCTTTGGATAATTCTTTTTTTTTTTTAATTTTTTTTTCCAACGTTTTATTTATTTTTGGGACAGAGAGAGACAGAGCATGAACGGGGGAGGGGCAGAGAGAGAGGGAGACACAGAATCGGAAACAGGCTCCAGGCTCTGAGCCATCAGCCCAGAGCCTGACGCGGGGCTCAAACTCACGGACCACGAGATCATGACCTGGCTGAAGTCGGACGCTTAACCGACTGCGCCACCCAGGCGCCCCTGGATAATTCTTAACTTAAAGAAAAGAATGGCAGATCTGCAATACATTCTAGAAGAGCTCAGGAAAAAAAAAATTTAATGTAAGAAATTAAAACTGTTCCAAATTAACTTTAAAATCACTAAAATATCAGTTAGCATTTGCTGTAAAGGTAGTTTTTTTCTGTTACAATAAGAGAAAAGAATATATGTGATTAATTGTTCTAATTTAATGCATTTGTTTGCATATATAATTTTTGGTGACCCAGATATGCAAACATACTAATATATGACTTAATTATCTATATTCTTTAATAACAAGAGATGGAAAGAAAATAAGCAAACAAAAAAAGAAATTCTGCTTGGCTGCTTCCATAGGAGAACCTCATTTACTCCTCTCCCTCTTCTCCCCAGATAGGCTGGAAAAAGGAGAAAAAATGTCCATCAATGGATGGATGAAGAAAATGTGCTATGTATACAACAAAATATTATCCAACCATAAAAAAGAAGGAAATTTTGTCATTTGCAACAATGTGGATGGATCTTGAGGGCATTATGCTAAGTAAAACAAACCAGAGTAAGACAAACACCATATGACCTCATTTGTATGTGGAACACAAACAAACACACCAAACTCATAGATACAGAGAACAGATTGATGGTTGCCAGAGGCAGAGGTCAGGGGTGGGGTGGGGTGGGCAAAATGGGTGAAAACAGTTACCAGGTATAAACCTCCAGTTATAAAATAAGTAAGTCCTGGGGATGTAAGGTATAGCATGGTGACTATAGTTAATAATACTGTATCATATATTTGAAAGTTGCTAGATCTTAAAAGTTCTTATCACAAGAAAAAAAATGTGTAATTATGTGTAGCAATGGATAGTAACTAGACTTGGTAGAGTCTAGAGTGGTGGTCATCTTGCAATATACACATATATTAAATCATTATGTTGTACACCAGAAATTAACATAGTATTACTAGTCAATTATATCTCAATTTTTGAAAAAGACATATATATAAGAAAACAGAAAAGAAAAAGGGAAGAGACCCACGGAAAGAAAAAAGGGCCAACTGCTTTCTTCTTTCCTGGCACTAACAATAACAAAGAAAGAGACAAGGAAAAAAAAAGAAATATGCCTTAAGTTCATGTGTCTTGTCCCTTCTCTATCCCCAGCCCTCATCATCACTGTTTTAGAGTTGCATATTCCATGTTCCTACTGTGTGATACAGTTTGGGGTCTGATATGAAATCCCTCCTCCTGCGAGGGTTGGTGTGGTAAGAGAGTGGTAAGGATACAGGTGGAACAGGAAACAGTTTCATAAAATAAAGAAGCTCTAAATGTGCTCTCACAGAGTCATAAACTAAACCTACATCCTATAGCACTATGCTTCAGAAACATTATGGGATGAAAGCCTTTTGTGGTTCACCCTGAAATCTACAAACCCCCTTTAACATTGTTTCTGCAAAAATTAATGTAAAAGTAAATTTTGTTAAAATTTATATAATTAATATATAAAAAAATCCATTTATAACTTAAGAATTGCCTATATATTTAACAACCAAAGCACAGTTACCTATCTTCCCCACAAGAAGCCAGTGGGCTAGAAAGCCCAGAACAATAAGGTGTTCAAGTAGGAATCAGGATCACAAAGATGGAAAACAGTAGTTTTTAATTCAATAGGATGGGATTAACAATGAAAAACAGCGCTCTGGAAAGGGAAGCCAAGACTACCCTTAAAAGGGAGAATGCAACCTACCTGTAGAGATAAATAAGTATCTTAAAGTAGGAGTATTTTAGTCACTGGAAAAAGAGAATTCACAACTACAGAAGAGTGGTAAACAAGATAAGCCATATTCTATAATGTCTCCGTGAACCTGACTTGCTTTTTTAATAGTTCATTCTCTTCTAAATCCTCATCTGTGATGTTTTTGTCAACATAAGTGGGAGTTATCCAAGTGTTAGAGTTTTGAGGGTTGAATGAGCATAAGGGGTAGCTGATAAAAGAGATTATTTTAACATGGCTATCGCATTAAGACACAGGACCAACTCCTCAAACAGTAGCCACATGGAATCTGGAAGATAGTAAGAATCAAATAGATACAGCATATTCAGGTAGTCTTCTCTCTCATTTTGGTAATTTATTCCTATAAAATATTTCTAGAAAATTGCTTTTATTTTACTGCAGGGTACACATCTTGTTCTGTTAAATGCATGCATGGAAATATACACATACCTCTTTCTCACATACACATGCATAGATGCAATTGAACTTCAATATTTCATATATTTAATGGCAGAACTTATATACTCTTATCTAATTCCCCGGTCACCTAATGAGCAAGAAGGGAATGTGGAAAAAGAATTAAAACTCATTCTTTGCATTTCCTATAGTAGTTTGGGAGCGATTATGGCCACAGTGAGCCACATGATCTGGTTCGTTGCCTGTAAGCCTATTTTCACCTATTAATGCCAAAACAGAAATCTGAAGTCTAGGGTGCCATCATACTAATTAAACAACTTTTTACCTGTAATCTAGTCCCATTCAGTAGCATAATTTTCACTGAAGAAACTGAAGTATGTTTAGACTCTGTATGTTTAAATTGTAACAAAATTTGCCTTGTTAATGGCAAACATTATCACCTCTTTTATGCCTTTCTAAAGAAATTTCAACAACTGTCACAATACTTTAAAAAAATGAAAATGATCATTGGGTAAGCTGGAATTTTCCATCACCATTCCCTTTTGACATATTATCTCCTAGATTTCCTAAGTAGGAACAATGTTCTTATTACGAACTTTCTATTTCACCATGAATAATATTCTTCTCACTTTCGCATTTCTCTGCAGAGACCATAAAAACAACTGGAACCAAATATAGGAGCTACCATTTTCATCACAGTTTACAGGAAAAAGAAAACAGTAATATATATGTTTGCTTGGGGCACAGAAGTGGCTTTTTGCTTCTGGTCCTATAATTACCTTCTGAGAGAGGTGATAGTAATCTTACACTGATTCTTGCCACTACAGTAACTTGTAGGTAGGAGGGGAGTTACCAAAAGAATAAGAAATTAAATTAAAAATAATAGATCTTGAGAAAAGGGAGAGAAGCGAGAAAGCATTAAGAAGGCCACGGTAAATAAAATAAACTTCTAGTAGAATTTTTAAGTAGTAAAATGAAGAAATCAAGGAGAAATATTAAAACAAAAAATCTTGTAAGAAAATTAACTTCCAGTAAATAGAAATGCCCAGAGTTGTATCAATAAAATGGCATTCTTTGCCAGGAAGTACAAAAGAAAATGTCAAAGTCCCTATTACTTGTTCTGTTTCTTTTTTTTTTTTTTTTAATTTTTTTTTTCAACGTTTATTTATTTTTGGGACAGAGAGAGACAGAGCATGAACGGGGGAGGGGCAGAGAGAGGGGGAGACACAGAATCAGAAACAGGCTCCAGGCTCTGAGCCATCAGCCCAGAGCTTGACGCGAGCCTGACGCGGGGCTCAAACTCACGGACCGCGAGATCGTGACCTGGCAGATCGTGACCTGGCTGAAGTCGGACGCTTAACCGACTGCGCCACCCAGGCGCCCCTACTTGTTCTGTTTCAATATGCAAGTTTACTTGCCAAAGAGTTGAGAAATAAGAAACATTTAGGAATATTTGCCAATAGTTTTGAACAGAAACCCATGTGTGAATAATTTTAACATGCATTTTCCTACTCTCCTCCTCTATTGAAATAAATTTAAAAACAAATACAATGTTTAAATAAATTTTCATTCATATATGTAACATAAGGAGCTATATTCCCTACTGCTTATCACTTGTGGATAATGATTTAGGAGTTGATCTAACAGCTTTCATCCATGCCACTATGATATTAATTTACTAAAGTTAGAAGTTATAGCCCTATAAATACAGACAAAAATGTGATAGAATCAACAATCCTCTAATTTGAAGACTTTTTTATTTCTTACCATGTCTTTTCCACCTATGACCTCTTATTGACATGCTGGTTACTGCATTTCTTGATATTCTAGAGGAAGTTGGTGTGATTTCAACTTGAATACACCTTGTACCCTCCTTACTAGACTTCATGGCACCATGAGGCAATGAAGCCTTTATGGCATTAGCAACCTAAGGAAAAAATACAGTTTCAGATTGGTATTAACAGACGTATTATACCCTTACATCAAATAAAATGCCAAATTTTAACAGGTTTTATAAAATCATACTTTCTCCAATGTATTTCCTAAAGTGATAAGTAAGTCTTCTAGGATAAGGAGTAAGAGCTCAGAAGGAAACTATCGTTTTTTTGTTTTTTAATGTTTATTTATTTTTGAAAGAGAAAGAGACAGAGTGCAAGCAAGGGAGGAACAGAGAGAGAGGAAGACACAGAATCCGAAGCAGGCTCCAGGCTCTTAGCTATGAGCACAGAGCCCAACGCAGGGCTCAAACCCACAAACCGTGAGATCATGACCTGAGTCAAAGTCGGATGCTTAACCGACTGAGCCACCCAGGCACCCTGGAAACTGTGGTTAAAAATAATATGTAAGTGATGAAATTTACAATTCCAAAATATTGAAATTATATTTCTAAATGCTTAATGCTAATTCATAAGTGCAGCTCTAGCATGTTAAGGAGAACATTCTTGTAAGTTTAAAAGACTATTAAATATCTCAGAAGTTAGCTTAATGAAATTCTCAAATTCCATTATATACACCTTTTCAAGCATAAAATTTGTCTAGTATAACAGCATGAATCACTGAGTTTAATGGCATTAATGCACTATGAATGGCTACTTCTCAATTTATAGTTCTAAAATGAGAAATCTTAAATTACACAATTTACATAAACAAGTGAGGCACCTACCAACAATGGCTCTGGATATAATTCTAGCTGAGCTCTGTATATAATATCATCCAATGCTTTTTGAGCTAGATCCCATTCTCCATTATAACTATAAAATTAAATGAAGAAAGTATTAATTATTTTTAATTGATTCTGTATATTTGAACAAAATACAATGAGAAAATGTTTGCTGAGTAAAATAATAGATCACATTAGCACACTGCTTAGCATGCCACCCTCCTTGAAAACTTATTTTTATATCTCTGAATTCCTTTCAATTTTATCTGAAAATGCTATTAATAGCAAAGAAAATTTTATAGATCTATATTTCTTCTCTAAAGAACATGTCTATTTATAGCCAGATTAAAAAAAAAAAAAAAAGAGGCAATCTCAAAGCATTTTACACTTTCAAAACAAGTCGGAGCATAATAGATTATATATCATAGAATAATGTTCAGAACACTTTATGGTCAAATTACTCTGTAACTCCCACAGATTTTAGTGAGACTCTACAACTACTGTGGCTTGCAGTATCTTAAGTAATTACTTCTTTGCATTTTGACAGTCATTTAGAACTGTATATGATATATGCTGCAAATATCAGATAGATACGGGGGGGAGGGGAAGAGTGTATGTTATGCATATTCATTTTCAAAGATATGGCCAAACTCTAAAAATTAGATACATGATAACAATGGACACAGAAATAATGATTTAGTCATCTGCCAACAAAAATAAAGAAGTATGAATTATATCAAGGGTGCAAGTGAGGCCTAAAAAGTAGAAACAGCACTGTTATCCACCCTAAAAACAAGATAAAGTCAGATAATCTAGAAAATCCTAGCTTTCCATGAATCCAGCAAGGAGCTAAAGTCACAGGGCAGCCAAGTAGCCTAAAACCTAAGGGCAGACAGATGCCTCTGAAGATAGATAGGCCACAATGCAAGCAGGTTAGAAGACTTGAGCTAAACTTTTTAAACAAATTGCTAAAAGCCAAGTATGGGCCAGCACTAGAGTATAGAATCTCTAGGAGCAGATACAAGGGGAGCTCATAACCACTCACAAGCTCTTTACCACAAACCTCCTCTAGGCACTCATAAGAAAAACTGGGGGCAAGGTAAGGGACCAGAGGAAGTTGCTCTGGTAGTTCGGGCCTAGAGGAGAAGAGTAGCCACCTGAGCAAGAAAGGCATGAAGACCCAGCCAACCTTTTTCTCAAGTGAAAGCAAAGTTTTAAAGCCTCTGGGGAGAGAGTATCAAACCCTTTCACCCCAAGGGCAGAGGTGAAGATTGACTGTGGCAGTGAGAGAAAGAAAAAGAAAAAACTACATGTGGGAAAGGATCAGGAAATTGTCCTATGTTGAGACCACTAAGGTCTCTTACCACTGGAGGAGGGACAGGACCACTGAAGAGCTACCCTCCTTTCCTGAATCCCAGATAGAGGGACACAGGGCCTGCTTATAACTGAGGCTGGACCAGGCAACAGAGAACACCACTTCCTCCAAACCCCCCACCTAGACTAGTACACATTTAGAAATAAGCAACAGTACTCTATTGCTGAAGGAGGAATAAGACATGAAGAAAGATCGTCTGTGAGGTACAGACAGACACAAAGGAAAAGCTAAAAGCTGAGGATGGAGCAAGAACATTGAGAAAAACCCTCCAGCAATCCAGCTCACATCCTAACTGCCAGGGACCATGAGAGGAATCTGAGGTAGGTGGTGCCATGAAGGTAACCATAGCAACAACAAAATCCAACCTCAGCTCATTCCTGCCCATAATAACTCCACTAGAAGCCTAGAAGAAAAGAGGCATGCCCATTTCTAGACATAAACAATATTTACCTCAGTCACTATTGTTCTATCCATGAACAAAAGGATAATGAATCAAATATTACAAGGCACACAAAAAGCAAGAAGAAAACAACCCACTGTCAAGAGACAAAGAACAATAGAGCTAAATTCAAAGATGATTCAGATTCTGTAGTTATCAGGGAAATTAAAATAACTATGATAAATAGTTACACGGAAAACATGTGTGAACAGATGGTGATTTAAGCAGAGAGATGGAAACCATAAGAAAGAGTCAAATGAAAAGACTAGAAATAAAATAGTAACAGAAATGAAGAACCCCTTCAGTGGGCTCATTAATAGACTCAACATCATCAAGAAAAAAATCAATGAATGTGAAGATAGGTCAATAGGAATTACTAAATCTGAAACACAAAGCAATAAAGAGAGAAAATAAATAGATCAGAGCATCCACGAGCTGTGGGACAATATTAATGGTCTAATGCAGGGGTTGATAAACTTTTTCTTAAAGGGCTAGATAATAAATATTTTAGGCTTGTGGGCCATACAATCTCTATTGCAACTACTCAACTCTGTCACTGTGGCTCAAAAGCAGCCATAGGCAATATGTAAACAAACAGATGTAAATGTGTTTTAATAATAAGGAAACAGGCAGCAGGCCATATTTAGCCCAAAGATCACAAATTCTGCCTTTAGTCAAGAAGCTTATAATCTGCTAAGACAAATTAAAGTACTGAATGGATATAATGTAAAGTATAGTAAAATATATATAGTAGAAGATAGGGTTCAAAGACAAATACCAGTATCTAAGGCACTACTAAGTAAGACTGAGCATCAATATTAGAAATTAATAGTAAATTAATAATAAACTTTATGATCAAAGAAGCTCTAAGTGTTTTTCAAGATTTAAAATTTCTGGAAATGGAAAAAGATCTTCATTGGGAAAAAAAAGCTATTTGGAAATTACAGCAAAAAAAAAAAAGAGTAATGAAAAAACTGTGAGTATATGTGGGTGTTGCTAATTTTCATTCTGTCCTTGAGTTAAAGAAAGATGAAGTGTTTTAGTTGGTTACAAATTCTTCAGAACATTAAGAGATATGTTTTAAGTAATAAAACTATTATCAAGATCTTGATTCATATTCTTTCACAAAAATATGCTGATTGTTTATCCAATGAGATTCTAATATAATAACTATAAAATAACAAAAGCACTAACACAACAGACTATGATTTTCCAGAGAGATCAAAGATTTACTCTGTATATGAAATGAACTTACAAAGCAAAATAAATTCCTGTTAACATTTGTACCATGAACCCTGAAGAAACTGGTATCCTGCTACTTATTCCTTTGTATTTTCTTACATGTTGTCGGGGATAGCCACAAACACAGATTCTAGAAAAAACAAAATAAATATATTTGTCAAATTGGTAAAAATTTAGGTAGTTTATTTTTTTTTAACATTTATAAGGAAACAATGTACTAGATATGCTCTCATAACAAACCTAATAGCTATGAAACAAAGAATCTATCCAAACAGAACATTTGTCTAGAACATTTTCTTAGGTAAGTGAAACTGAGGGGAAAAAATATATAAAGCTAGAGGTATGTTATTATATAGTTATTTCACTAATTTCAATCAATCCAATAATTGATAATTTTTAGTTACCATAAAACCTACTACATGAAATTTGGTATTATTTATCATAAATAGATCTATGGTATGATCTTCTATTCCTGACAAAGTTCTTGACACAAACTGCAGGCTCCAAGAAAATACTCTAAAATTAGATTCAAGTCCCATATAATACACTATAATAAATTTCAGGTAGATTGAAAATTTTAATGTTAAAAAACCGTAAGAGAAATAAAACAGAAGCAAGTAGTTACATATTCTTTATAAGTTTAAACATAACATCAAAGGTAGAATCCTAAAGACCAACAGATTTTACTAATTTTTGTAAAGAAACTACCATGAAAAAAGCTGAAATTTAAAGTATTTATTATAATGAAGAATATTTAAGGAGTACGTGTATTTACTATAGTGAATAGGAAGTCACCTAAAGGTCCAACACAGAGAACAAATCATATAAATCATTCAGAGAATACTATGAAACAATTAAACATGACGTTTTGAAAGCTTATTTAAATGGCAGAGGTAAAAACTGTACATAACACATGTTTGGAATAAACAAATAGGTGAATGATGTGTGTGTTACTGCCCAAAGATCATACACAAAGTTAGAGTTGTCTCTGGGCCTTGAGATTCTAGATTTATTTTCTTCTTTATATGTATTTCCTAAATTTTCTATGATCAACACGCACCGCTTTTAAAACAAACAAAAGTAAGTTCCTATTTTTAATAAAATTAGAAAATAGCTGTTTTCTCATAACATGTTGTGGTTGATATAATAAAACTTCACTTATGATAGTACTAGTCAATAGATTGTCATTATTTACCCCCTCCCACATGCAATTACTACCTAGGACTTAATATTTCCCCCACTCAGTGAATCTGAGCCTTCATTTAAACATGCTAAAGTATATCACAGACCATTTCAAAAATATACCCTTGAGAATATCATTAATTCAAAGTAACTTTATTTTTCTTCAATTCAAAGTAACTTTAAAGTAAAAATAAAAATTCATTTAATACTGAGAAGGATCTTAGAACTCTTTAGAACCAAGAGTAAAAAAGGAACAGGGATACTTTGGACTGAATATTTATGTTCTCTCCCAAGTTCATATATTGAAGCCCCAATTCCCCAATATAATGGCATTTGGGGACCCTTGCGAATAACTAGGTTTAGATGAGGTCATGAGGATGGGAACACTCCTTAATGGGATTAGTGCCCTTATTAAAAAGAGGAAGGGGGCCAGAATCCACTCTCTGACATGGAAAGACACAGTGAAAAGGTGGTTTCCTATAAGCCAGAAAGAGGGCCTTCACCACAAATCAAATCTGCTGGTACCCTGTCCTTAGATTTCTTAGCCAGAAGTGTGAGAAATAAATATCTATTGTTTAAGCCACCTAGCCTATGGTACTTTATTAAAGCAGCCTGAGATGACTAAAATAAAAACTGAAAAAAATTAACTGTACCTGAAATAAAACCAATTCAAATTTTGTTTGATATTATAAAGACTTATATCCAAACTACAATAGAAATTCCTCTTACTATCTAAAGAAGCAAGCTCAGAAAAAAATTTTTTTCCTTACACTTTATATACCTTTATGATAGGGATAGTAGTAAATAATAGAGAATCAATACACAAAAGATAGGTTTTTTCAATTAATGCATTTCTTCATTCAGTAAATATTTTTAAAGATTTACATTGTGTCAGACACTAGGAATGTAGATGAAAGACGTAGTTCCCTCAGGGATTTACCGTCTCATCATGGAGACTGTGTAGTAAACAAATATCTGCAATGAATAAGTTATAAAGGTGGCAAAAGGAGAGAGTGGTAAACTCTAGTGGAAGAAGCAGAGGGTCAGAGAAGGCTTCCCAGAATGAGCCTTGAAGAAAAAGTGGCATTTTCCTGGCGAAAATACAGCAATTGGCAACAATACAGAAGGATTAAACAGCACGACACCAATGAGATTGAGAATAGAAAGACACTAGAAAAGTAACAGAGATGCAAACTAGGGGTCAGATCATGGAGTATCTTATAACCTGCCAGGCTTTATCATGCAGGCAATTGAAAGCAACTGAAGGTTTTTGTTTTGCTGTTTGAAGCAAGAGAGTGACATGATCAGATTAGTCTTGATAATAGTGTTCCTCTGGAGAGGAGACTGTCAAAATAGCCCATGAGTGAGATGAAGGTGGCTTGAGGTAAAGAAGTAATGTGGGGAGAAGGTGAAAGGGTGGGATTGGAGTCCCATTTAGGAAGTATAATTATGGGGTAAGACTGAAGAAACAAGAAGAGTGTGTAATTTTCCCACAGTTAGTTTGGATAGCTGGCTGGATGGTAGTGTTATTAAACGAACTTGGACAAATAAGAGATACTGTTTTGGAAGATGCTAAGTATCAGATATGTTGATTCGTAGGTATATGGTATAGATGTCACTTTTGTCTGCCATGAACTCTCCCCCTGACACTAATGTTTTCCATTAATAGCACCTCTAACCCTCTTACTTTTAGGAACTAGTCTTCTTCTATATCGTCAAGTATAACCATGTGATTGTGTTATAAATAAAATAACAAAATTACCCGTGAAAAGAGGTCAACACCCTAACATCTATTTTTACTTCTTCCCTTTAATGACATAAGGTATGCTCTCCTCCACTCTCCCCCACCAATTTTAACTAGAACAATAGCCACCTGCTAGAGATCACATTTCCGAGTCTTCCTAGCATCTAGGTGTGACCATGTGACAAGTTCTGGCCAATGATCTGCTAACCAATGTAGTGCAACTTCTAGGTTGTACCCTTAAAAAGTAGTTGCATACCTTTCACTCTTTTTCTCCATGCTTGCAGGATACAAGGCACATGTAACAATAGTGATCCATCACCATACAGAGAAGAGTAACATCCTAGGGAATGGCAGAATCTCAAGAAAGAAGGAGTCTGAACACCTTAGAAACATAACCAATCTACCCCCAGACCATCTACCAGCTTGGACTTTTATGTGAAAGAAAAATAAATATCTATTTAAGTTACCATTATTCATCTTTGTTATAACAGTCAAACCAATATTTAAACTGATATAGTACTCTTCCAATAAAACTACCAAATGTGACCCCAGAGGGGTTTGTGAAGCTTCAGGCTTACAACATCAAAGCCTTTTCGCTGCCTTGTTTTTCACAGTAAAACTGGGAGAGAGGTTCTTTCTTCTGAGTTCATTAAAGGTAGACAATGTAAGCTTTCAGCTGCTTGTGGTCACTGTTCTTACAACCTAGAAGCCTTACACAAAGAAAATACAAAGCTAACAGATGAAGAAGATGAGATGAGAGAGAGATGGTAGAGAATATCCACATTAACATCTGAGCCTCTGGATCTAGTGGATCTTGAGGTCAGTTCCATCCCTGCTCTTCCCAGGAACAAAGAGCCAAAAAATTTTCCCTTTAGCATAATCTAGTTTTATATAGATTATCAATTAGTTGCAGCAAAAAGAGTTCTAACTTTTACAAGGTAAGACATCTTTTTTTAAATGTTTAGTTATTGGTAGGGGGGAGGGTGGGCAGAGGGAGGGGAGGACAAAGGATCTGAAGCAGGCTCTGTGCTGACAGCAGAGAGCCTGATGTGGGTCTTGAACTCATGAACCATGAGATCATGAGCTGAGCCAAAGTCAGACACTTGACCGACTAAGCCACACAGCTGCCCCTATAAGACATCTTGATAGAGATGGCTACAGGATTGGATATATAGGTTTAGAATCAGGAAGTATAGGATTCAGGATAGAAGATATAGACAGAAAAAGAAGTTATTGCTATTTATACACAATTTTTAAAAAAAAACAACTTTGCCATAGATCTAGAATTGTCAAACAACTTTTTTTTTTTTAACGTTTATTTATTTTTGAGACAGAGAGAGACAGAGCATGAACGTGGGAGGGGCAGAGAGAGAAGGAGACACAGAATTGGAAGCAGGCTCCAGGCTCTGAGCCATCAGCCCAGAGCCCGACGCGGGGCTTGAACTCATGGGCCATGAGATCATGACCTGAGCTGAAGTCGGACGCTTAACCGACTGAGCCACCCAGGCGCCCCATCAACTTTTAAATTTACTTGAGGTAAGAACTAGAGAGACAATTCTCTCGAACACCAACACATAAGTAAGATTCACAAGGGAAATAGGATTCCAGGTTCTCTGATTTTCTGTATCAGCTACCCATACAGAAGTAAACAATCATATGTTAAAGGATGAACTACAACCTTTATTGAGAAATGCAAGGGGCGCCTGGGTGGCGCAGTCGGTTAAGTGTCTGACTTCAGCCAGGTCACGATCTCGCAGTCTGTGGGTTCGAGCCCCGCGTCAGGTTCTGGGCTGATGGCTCGGAGCCTGGAGCCTGCTTCCGATTCTGTGTCTCCCTCTCTCTCTGCCCCTCCCCCGTTCATGCTCTGTCTCTCTCTGTCCCAAAAATAAATAAACGTTGAAAAAAAAAATTAGAAATGCAAAGGATTAGTCTTGGTCCATTCAGGCTGCTACAACACAGTACAACAAACTGGGTAGCCCCCTCTTGAGGGTTGTAGACTTTTCCTTGTATCCTCAATGGCAGAAGGAAGAGGGAACTCTGGCATCTCTTGGCTATGACAGCACCTCCTAATACCATCCTAATACCATCATCTTAGGTGTTAAGATTTCAACATATGAATTCTGGGGGGGATACAAACATTCAGACCGCAGCAGTTAGTTTCTCATAACTACTAAAACTTTACCCATTTGTAGGAATTAACTGCA